CTTCAGCTCAAGGCTAGCACTCTACCACTTGAGCCACAGTGCCACTTCCGGCTTTTTTCTTTTTGTTTATGTGGTGCTGAGGAATCGAACCCAGGCCCTCTGGCATGCAAGGCAAGCACTCTACCACTGAGCCACCTTCCCAGCCCAAGATCATGGTTTAAAAAGCTAGCCTGGACAGGAAAGTCCATGAAACTCTTATCTCCAATGAACCACCAGAAAACTGGAAGTGGAGGTATGGCTCAAAGTGATAGAGTGCTAGCTAGCCTTGAGAGAAAAAACTCTGGGACAGTGCGGAGGCCAAGTCAAGGTCCACAAACAAAAAAGATGAGGGAGATTTCCTAGCCTCAAGTTTTTGGAGAAATCAGACCTATATATAGTTCTTACAAAATGGGATGCTGAACAGAACGGGGCCTCTTGATTACTTTTTGCTCATCCTCTACAGCCAAGCAACCATCCAGATCTTAAAAAAAAAAAAAAAGGATAACTATGAACTCTGGGCCTGGGCGCTGTCCCTCAGCTCTTCAGCTCAAGGTGAGCGCTCTACCACTTGAGCCACAGTGCCACTTCCAGTTTTCTGAGTGGTTTATAGGAGATAAAGAGTCTTAGGGAAGCCCAGCAGTGGTTCACGCCTGTAATCCTATCTACACAGGAGGCTGAAATCTGAGGATCTCAGTTCAAAGCCAGCCCCAGCTGGGGCAGGAAAGTCCGTGAGACTCTCATCTCCCATAAACCACTAGTAAACCGGAAGTGGCGCTGTAGCTTAATGGTAGAGCGCTCGCCTTGAGCTGAAGAGCACATGGACAGGGCCCAAGCCCAGAGTTCAAGCCCCACGACCAACCGAGAAAAAAAAAAAAAGAGTCTCAGGGACCTTTCTGCCCCGGCTGGCTTTGAGCCACGATCCTCAGATCTCAGCCTCCTGAGTAGCTAGGATTATAGGCGTGAGCCACCAGTACCTGGCTGTTTTTGTTATTTTTGTCAGTACTAGCTAGGGCTTGCATTCAGGACCTGGATCCTTACCTTAGCTTCTTCTTTGTTCAAGGCTAGCACTCTTGCCACTTGAGCTACAGCTCCACTTCCAGCTTTTTGCTGGTTAATTGCTGGGAACACTTTCCTGCCCAGACTAACTTCAAACCTTTGGCAATCTTCCCATCTCAGGCTCCTGAGTAGCTGGGATTATAGGTGGGAGTCCCTGGTGTCCAGCTGGCCTCAAGGTTCTGTACCTCCTATTCCTGCTGTTTCTAATACTTCAGATATCCACACAACCTCTTCCCCAGCTTCAAATTGTAGCTCCTGTCCCCTTCTCTGTGAGGCCTACAATCCTAACCTCATTTCTCTCTCCTGTTCTGCTTTCTTTTCTCATTTTCCTTATCTGGTTTTCCCCGACTAGAACAAGAAGGGCTGTGGTGCCATGTCTTCTCTGTTGCCTTCCCTGCTGTCCTCCCAGTGCCCCGTGCAGGACAGATGATGCAGTAGGTACCTAGTGGTGACTGAGTGAACATGTGGAAGAGTCTTCAGCAGCTGCATGACAAAGGGACCATTGAGGGCGAGTCTAGGAACAGAGCAAATGGTTGTTGAGCTGGTATAGAAGATAATTAGGGAGCTCATGTGAGCTAGTGAGAGGGGGTACTGGGCACATGTGTCACAAGTAGATTCTGCAAGAGCAATCTCCTTTTCCTTTTCCTTTCTCTCTTTCTCTCTCTTTTTTTTTTAATGTCAGTCATGGGGCCTGAATTGGGGGCCTGGGCACTGTCCCTCAGCTCTTCAGCTCAAGGCTAGTTAGTGCTCTACCACTTGAGCCATAGTACCACTTCTGGCTTTTTCTGCTTATGTGGTACAGGAGGAGTCCAAACCAGGCCTCATGCATGCAAGGCAAGCACTCTACCCCTGAGCCACCTTTCCAGCCCCTCTTCTTTCTTTTTGTGTGTGCTGGTACTTGGGCTTGAACTCATGGCCAGAGTACTCTCCTCAGCTTTTTACTCAAGGCTGGCGCTCCATGACTTGAGCGACACCTCTACTTCTGGCTATTTGAGGTTTTTATTGCTGGTTAATTAGAGGTCTGAGTCTTTTGGACTTTTCTGCCTAGGTTGGTTTCAAACTGTGATCCTCAGATCTTAGCCTCCTGAGTAGCTAGGATTACAAGCGTGAGTAACCAGACTGCAGTCTTTATCCTTTTACCCCTCAATCTCCTCAGGCCTTGTTGGGAGGGAGTGGTCTGGCTGTATAACAGGGAGGCATTCTCTCCTTTCCTGGTACAGATTGCCTTTTTCTTGGAGAAAGAGAATAACCCTCCTTGCCAAGAGACAACTAAGGAGGACCTCTTCAATCCTGTCCCCATGACCCCGACCACCACACCTGTGCTGACCACCCTGAACGTCATCAGATCTGTCCACCAGCAAGAAGTAGATGCTAGAGATATGGAAATGTCAAAGAAAGTCAGGCGATCCTACAGCCGCCTGCAGCCCCCTGGCTCCACCTCCACACCTGGCTGCCGGTCCTGCTTTGGCTTTGATAGCCTTGAAGACTTGTCTGGAGTCTCACCCGTGGTGTGTTCAAAAATAACTGACATCTCCAAGGCCCCTGCCAAGCCGCTGATCCCAGACCCAACACTCCCTGGAATTTCTCCCCCTGTCGTGAAGGAGAAACGGAAGAAGAAAAAGGTGCCTGAGATCTTGGTGAGTGAGGGCCGGGCCTTCTCTGCATCGGCCATGTCCTGCCCTTGTGGGAGGCTGCACAGGGACAGGGCTTAGCTCTGGCTCTTGGGAGAAGGCAACACCTTCAGGATGTGGGTGACATGCTCCAGCCAACATGGCTGCCCTCCTCATTCACTTGCCCCATTTCTCTTCCCCTCCCCTCCCCCTCAGAAATCGGAGCTGGATGAATGGGCTGCAGCCATGAATGCTGAGTTTGAAGCTGCTGAGCAGTTTAATCTCCTGGTTGAATGAAATGAAGTGGGGGTAAACTGGTCAGCCTCACCCTTGCCTTCTGTATATACTTCCCTTTCAGTGGAAAAGACACCTGGCATCCCCTCTGTTGGCTTTGCTAGCTGTTTAGGTGCCTCTCTGAGAAGCCTGTCTGTCTTGCCTCTCAGGGAAGCTGTCTTGGTTTCAGAACTGGGCCCTGCTTGGAGCTGACTACTCAGCAGTGTCCTGACAGTCCTGCTGTCCTTCCTACTGCTCCAGCCTGGACATGACAGGCCACCTCTGCTCTTAAGTAGACGTGGTTGCTCAAACCAGCCCAGACAGAAACAGGCCCCAAGAGGATGACCAGCTTCCGGCTATCTCGAGTTGCTCTCTATTGGTGGCAGTGGTCCTAGCCAGGAGCTGTTCTATATAAAGAGGTTTGGGATTCAATTCTGTGGATAATCCCAAGAGAGAATGCTGGGAGACAGTTTTGCTCATCAGGAAGAAGAAGATAGACATTGAGCCCAGAGAGCCCACGTTCTAAGGGAACCTTGGCTGGGTTTCAGACTGTAAATACTTCCTAGTAGGAACTATGGTTTTGGTTTTGGGTTTTGTTTTGTTTTTATTGGTTACAGGGCTGTCCCTGAGCTCTCCTTGCTCAAGACTAGCGCTCTGCCACTCTGAGCCACATTGCCACTTCCTGTTTCCTGGTGGTTCATTGGAGATAAGAATCTCATGGACTTTGCTGCCTGGAGTGGCTTTGAACCATGACCCTCAGATCTCAGCCTCCTGAGTAGCTAGGATTACAGGTGTGAGCCACTGGCACCCAGTAGGAGCTGTGTATCATACGTCTGTATTCTGGTATTGAGCTTTTGCAAATGCCAGACTGGTGGAACACTGCTGCTAGGGACAAAGAGTGCCACTGGGTGCCATGGACTCCCTGTGCACTGGAAGCTGAGGCTTGGCTCTTGGCTGGTCCCTTGCGTAAGGGCAGAGGTCACCCATTTTGTCACCCACCCCTTGTTTCTTTTTCTTTTTTGGCTAGTCCTAGGGCTTGAACTCAGCCTGGGCACTGTCCCTGAGCCTCTTTTGTGCCCAAGGCTAGCACTCTACCACTTGAGCTACAGAGCCACTTCCAGCTTTTTCTGAGTAGTTTATTGAAGATGAGTCTCGGACATTCCTGCCTGGGCTGGCTTTAAACCAAGATCCTCAAATCTCAGCCTCCTGAGTAGCTAGAATTACAGGTGTGGGCCACTGGCACCTGGCTCCACCTCTGTTTCTTACAAATAAGCTACCTAGAGTCCTGGGCTCCAGAATGAGGATCCAAAGGTCACAGTGCCACCAACATTTTACAGTGACATTAGTAAACTTCCAAGCAGTTGTCCAAACACCAGGAAGCTGCAGGCTGATAGTGGCTTTCACATTGAGCTTCCTTGTGTTCGGTGGGACCCCTGCCTAGGCAAGTGCTAGGAGTAGAAATGGGGTGGGTTGGGGGGGCAGGCTATCCCATTGTCTCTGGGGAATTGTTGCCACCACTCGTTTTCCTCAATTCTATTGGAAAGCTCCCTGTGTCGCCTGACTCCCATCATATCCATGCAGCTGCACTTTTGGTTTGCAACTTCACAGAAGTAGAAACTGAAGAGCGGGGGTGGGGCCGGAGGGGTACCAGCCTGGTGGGCACTGCTGGAGCCATCTCTGAGGCCTGGACTGTCCATTCAACACCTCATCCTCTGTCTGGCTCTGCAAGCAAGTCTCCTGGCCAGAGTGAGGCAAGATGTCCTTGACTAGACCATAGTGGAGGAGCCCTGGTCCTCGACTGACGGGGTGGGACTTGGGAGTCCAGGATCTCACCCCGTCCCAGAGGAACTGACCTTGCGGTGGAGGACACGGGTTTTGTTTTGATTAAAGAGTTTCTCTGCTCATAGACTGTGCTTGTTTCATTGGGTGGAAGCCAGCATGGCCGGTGTAAAGCCCAGGATGCCCAGCCTTCTTTAAGCCACATTACTGAGGTCATCCCTTTGCCCTGGTCCATCCTTCCCCACTCTTAGATCTGTTTCTTCTCCAATCATTTGGGCCATCCTAGGAAGGACTGCCTGGATAGGAAAGAGACTGGGTTTGATTGTGGCTGCTAAGCCATCTCCTACCCTGGGGAGAGGTGTGCCACCAAATTCCCTCCAGAGCCAAGTCTGCTGCCTCCACTTTCTTGGAAGGAGCCTGTGGCCCATGCTGTGGCTTAGCCTGGCTTCAGCACAGGAGTGCGTGTTGCGGGGGCCTCTAGGAGCTGCTCAGAGATGCCAGTTCCTGCCAATTCTCCCACTTGGTCTGAGGTGACCCCACCCCTTTGTCCTTTGGATGTGGGGCTTGAACTCAGGGCCTAGGCACTCTCCTTGAGCTCTTTTGCTTAAGGCTAGCACTGTACTACTTGAAGCCACAGTTCTACCATTTTGAGCCATGGTTCCACTTCCATTTTTCCTGACGGTTTATTGGAGATAAGAGTCTCACGGACTTTCCTGCCTGGGCTAGCTTTAAACCATGATACTTAGATCTCAGCCTCCAGAGTAGCTAGGATTACAGGCATGAGCCACTTGTCAGATTGCTCCCTTCTCCCTAGTTTATTCCAGTGTCCTTGTTACTCCATTTGCTGTTTAGTAACCAATGTGGCCTCATGGTTAACACTATCTAGGGCAGCTCCCTCGGCCTCCTGCATCTGCATCTAGTCTTAAGTCCCTTGGGGTCCACTGGCCTTAAGGAGGCTCTGGCCCAAGGACAGGTGGTTCTCAGAGCAACTGGGCATAGACTAAGCTTTGTTCCTATCATGTAATCACACTACATGACTGGCAAGCCATTAATTTTTTTTTTTTTTGGTGGTCCTGGGGCTCGAACTCAGGGCCTGTCCTCTGTCCTTGAGCCTCTGTGTGCTCAAGACTAACACTCTACCTTGAGCCACAGTGCCACTTTCAGCCTTTCCTGTTTATGTAGCACTGGGGAATTGAACCCAGGGACTCATGCATGCTAGGCAAGCACTCTGCCACTGAGCCACATTTCTGAGCCTATTTTTGGTTTTCTGGTAGTTAACTGGAGCTAAGAGTCTCCCTGGACTTTCCTGCTTGGGCTTGCATTGAACCACAATCCTTCGATCTCAGCCTTCTGAGTAGCTAAGATTACAGGCGTGAGTCATGGATGCTCAACTCTTTCCATTGACTTGCTTCGTGTCCATCTGACTTATATGGTGCTGGTGCTGGGGTTTGTGCTCAGGGCCTGGGCGCTGACTTCTAGCTTTCAGTTTTTTTGTTCAAGGATGGTGCTCTAGTACTTGTGCCACATCTCCATTATCAGTTCTTTGCTGGCTAATTAAAAGTCCCATGGACTTTACTGACTAGGGGCTTCAAACTGGGATCCTCAGACCTCAGCCTCCTGAGTATTATAGATGTGTGAACCACCTAGGCCTGGCTTTGACGGATCATTTCTATAACCAAGAATGGAGGTTTTCTGCTTTCAAAACAAAACAAAAACTTGTAAGATCCTTAAAAAATTGTCCTCTCAATTCCATTCTCCCCATATACACCCAACTTGTATTTATAGGGAGTCAGTGTGCAAAATCTTGTTTACATGTAGCTTTGGTAAGATGTTAGATGCCTAGAAAAATTGAATTTCAGATTCTGAATAATTGTGTGTGTGTGTGTGACAAATGAAGGCTTCATATATGCTACACAGCTTTACCACTGAGCTGCAGCCCTAATCCTAAATAATTTTTTTATTGCCTCCATATCCCAAATGTTTCAGACAATATACTCAAGAACTATTCATTTTTAACATGAAATTGAGTTAAACTCGGCATGGTGTGTTGTATTGGTCCCTCTGGCAAGCTTGAGGGCGCTGTTTTGGTACTGTCCCAAGGAAACCAGGTCAGGCTGGAAAGAGCAGGGAGGTAGGGTGGCACACGTAGGTCCCAACCAGGCCTGTGTCTTCCTCAGCCTTCCAGTGACAGTAGAAGAGTCCACTCTGGACAGGATGTTGAACAGCCTGTTGAACAGAAGTCTGAAGAATTTCAGGCCTCCAAGGAGTCAGACGAAGAGGTGACAACAATCCCTGGGGCCTCCCAAGCAGAGGGCAGGGATGGCAGGAGGGCTGGAGATGCTCTTCTGGCTGGGTGGAGACCTGAGCTCCCTTGGTCGCACCCTGTCCTGTCGCTGCAGCCTCTAGCTGCTGGGGAGTCTGAACACCTCCCATTCATACCTTGCGCTCCTCTCCCACCACCCTTCCTCCAGGGGTGAGGGCGGGAGTGCAGGGTGGCCCTGAAAAGCAGGGGGACAGCAGTGGGAGGCAGGACCTAGGCTGCTGGGTGAGCAGCCTCATGCCGCTCCAGTCACTATGGCATCTTCTCTGAAAAGCCACTATCTGAGGACCAAATGCCAGACCTGCAGTCAGCACCTACTGTCAGATTCCTGTTTACACTCCTCAACGCCCCCGAGACCAAGGGCTCTGAGTCGTAAGGCTGGGGGAGCAGGTGGGAAGGTGGGGCAGGGCGGGGGGCCAGGGAAGAGCAGAGGAGACTTCCTTTCCCGTGGGAATACTGCTCAGCCCTGAGCTGTGCAGAGGTGACGCCTGTCTGGACTAAAGGAGCCCAGGTCTCAGGCTGGGCAGCCCCATTCACTCCCTACCCAACTTACCCTCACTTGAGGCTGACCGTGAATCACTTGCTCACTCTCCTAGAGACTCAGATACCCAGGATAATCAGTTCCTCGATCAGGACGACTGGGGTCCCAAACAAACCTCAAAGGAGATGAGGGAATTGCAGCATGAGTGCATGAGGTGAGCAGGGATGGGAGAAAAGGGGCATGTTGGATGACGGAATGTCCCCCACTGCTGCTGGCCTGATTCTTTTTGTTGGTTGGTTTTCTTTTTTTGGGGGGAGGGCGGGGCGGGGTCTGGTCATGGGGCCTGAACTCGGCCTGGGCGCTGTCCCTCAGCTCTTCAGCTCAAGGCTAGCATTCTACCACTTGAGACACTGTGCCACTTCCGGCTTTTATTTTTTTCTTTTCTGCTTATGTGGTGCTGAGGAATCAAACCCAGGGCCTCAAGCATGCAAGGCAAGTACTCTACCACTGAGCCACCTTCCCAGCCCTTGTTGGTTAGTTTTTGTGCTGGTACTGGGGTATGAACTCAGAACCTGTATCCCGTCCCCTGGCTTTTTTGCTCAAGGCTGGCTGACACTCTACCACTTGAGCCACAGTTGCACATTCAGTTTTTTAGTGGTTAGTTGGAGATAAGACTCTCATAGACTGTCCTGCGTGGGCTGACTTTGAACCCTGATCTTCGGATCTCAGTGTCCTGAGTAGCTCGGATTGCAAGGTGTGAGCCAGCAGCACCTGGCATTGGGCAGATGCTGTAGGTTGGTATCCACATGCCGTGCTTTTCCCTTGCCTGTACTGAGTCTGTCAGCATGGCCTTGCCATCACCTTCCCAACAGCAGTGTCCTCTTATACCTCATGGGTGTGGGGACCCTGGACTTCTCTTTCCATCGTGCGTGTGTCCACATTGCCTGTCAGGTAGGAGACCAGTAACTGCATTAGCAGAGATCTTTTTCCTTTTTGTTGTGTTGGTCATGGAGCTTAAACTTAGTGTTTGGGTGCTGTTCCTGA